GTCCCAAGCCAGTTCTTAACCATCGCGCCACTCGGCCGGCCCTGGAAGAATATTTTAAAACCTAATAATATGGTTTGCTTGTGAGAGAAGATCTGGGTGTTTGGTGGGCAAAATAAAGATTTGGAGGTTCCTAACTTCCATACTGACTGTCAAACTACTGACAGTAAGTGTCTTAGGTAAAGATCCAGGGGAAAAAAAAAAGATTACTGCTCAATCATATTTTCCTCGCTATACTCAGGGTTGGTTGTTAGGCACTGAGTAGAGTATTTTTTATATGCTGAGAGAGTAGTCTCTCTCTCAAATATGCTGCGAAAATGTATATACTCACATTTCCTTTCTCTCTGTCCTTGAGATGCATTACGTTTGTTTAAAGAATGTAATAAGTTTGTTCAGGGAGTTGCATCAGAAATTATTTTTGTGTTAGTGGTAGGAATGACAAGTAGTTCCTTTGTAATGCTGCACCAGTCAATACCTGTTTTTGCCTAAGGATGTATCCATACCAATTCTGGATAATCCAGCTTTGAAGTGGGTTGGGCTGTGCCGGGTTTCTTTTGTTGGTGCTATTAGTTTGGGTTGTGACCTAGTCACATGTGTCTTGAAAACTTAAACAGCGCCAAGGATATGAGCTAATTAAGTTTACAAATTCTAACTAAAGCCAGTGTACATGGCATTTACACCAAAATAGTTTTCTAGAAAAGGTACAAGACTTTTTTCCATTTTCTAAAACTTGTCTAGAAAGAACATTTACCTAACATGTTCTGTTCATAGAAAACACATTTTTTTTTTTTGCATGTGAAATGCCAAAATGAGTAATTACCTAACCAAAGAAATGTTCACAATCTTCAAAATGTTCTTTAAATGTCTGGAAGACATTTTAAGTCATTAAAAAAACACCATTATATTCTTTATAAATTTTTTAGATTCCAGTTCAAGGGAGGTGAAATATTAAATATTGCACAATCAAGATAAACAAAGTCTTTTGTTAAATTTGCAAAAGAGGGGACAATGCCACATCGTTTGCTTTTAGCCAACCCATTGGCTAAAAACCATATGGACATTCTCTGGGTCAAAGGACATTTGCCATACAAACTTCACCAAAGGCCTTTCTGGTGATCTTTGGTCATAGGATTAGTTGGAGCATGAGCATTTTTAAACACCTCTTTATTGACAAATGAGAGAAAGAGATGAAGATAACTGAGTTAGAGATCTCTAGGAGAGGAAAGATCCCTTTAGCTCGCCTTGTTTTTGCATCACAGGGACCTGACATGAATTAGTTTGGTTGGCAGGACCCAGGGGCAGATGGAGGGCTCTTGAAGTAAGAGTAGCTAACAAAATGAGTTTTTTAAGTTTGGCACTTTGCTAAGCGCCTTGTTATTATTACCTAGTTTATTCATAACAGCAACCCAATGAAGGAGGTACTAATATGACTCGCATTTTACAGGTGAACCAACTAAAAAATCAGAGATTAAACGACAAACGCCCAGAAGTCCCACAGCAAGTAAGCGACGGCACCAAAACTCGAAACTGCTCCAGAACACGCACTCTGAACCTCTGTCCCGCGGTCTGACTCCGCTCGCTCTTCGCCGCCTTCCCACCTTCTTTCGTGGGGACAGTTCCCAGTACTGAGGCATGGCGCTGTCCAGCCCTCAGGCCCGCCGCCTTCCACAAGCAAGAGAACGCGGCCCCGCGGGGCGATCCAGCCCGGAGGTTGTAGAACTGCCGCGCCCAGCCACGTCCCGGGGCGCGGGCGGGCCGAATCGCCTCCGGGCGGCCATGGCAAACAGCACCCACGGTCGCCTCAGCTTCGCGCGCTGGGCTCCTGTTGGGAAAGCGGGAGGGGTGCAGCGCAGGACCAGCCCGGGCCCTCACCTCTTCTGGCCCCCTCCTCCAGCCCAAAGAGCCTAAGGCAGATTAAGTCAGGCAGCCTCACCTGTCCCAAAAGGGTGATCTCTCTAGTGACTGACGCTCCGCTCCTCCAACCAGGGCTTGGCGGGAAGGTGGAGCCTAGATGAGACTGACGGCTTCTTCCTCCAATCCCCGTGCAGCAACCCTCTGGCCGCAGTCTCCGCGCCTGGAGGAAAGCGACAGGTGGGAGCTGCATTACCTCCGCGCCTTTTAGACTTGGTGTAGAGGCCTCCCCGAGCGCAGGGTGAAGTCTACTCCAAATCTCACCAATTCTTGCGAATTGTCCGTCACCTCAGCCATCATTTTTATCAAAAGTGGAAATTCCCCAACCCTTTCCCGTCACCTCAGATGGAGGCGGGATAAATGGTACTCTTACCGGCCAATTGTACCATGCGACGTCCTGTGACAAAGTGACCGACACTTTAGAGGGCCAATGAAGTCTCCCATTGTCAGGGGTCACTATGACTGACCATAAGGCCAACTAATCCACTTTAAGGTCGTGACGCGATAGTCAGAGAGTTTGACCAATAGACGTAGAAAAAGACCGGAAGTCAGCGCGCGGGGAGTAGAAGGCGGGTGTTCGCAACCGCCTAGGCCTGCGCGGGTCAACGCAGCTTGGAGGCCCCGAGCCAGCGAGCGGCGCGTGACGAAGAGCCTGAGCGACGGGTCACCTTGGCCAATGATCTGCATCCGCTTTGGTGCTGTAGCCAGTGGCGAGTATGTGGGGCGGGAGGCAGCAGGTTAGGCAGTGAGAAGTTAGTGGCGCTGCTGGGACGGGGGGGAAGGAGACGCTTCTTCCTCCTGCTGCTCCTCTCCTTCCCGGGATCAGCAGCGGCCGTGGCCGCGAGTGACTCGGCAGTGTCTCCGGCTCCGCGCCCGACCATGCTGACCGACGGCGGAGGCGGCGGCACCTCCTTTGAGGAGGACCTGGACTCGGTGGCTCCGCGATCCGCCCCAGCCGGGGCCTCGGAGCCGCCTCCGCCGGGAGGGGTCGGGCTGGGGATTCGCACCGTGAGACTCTTTGGGGAGGCCGGGCCAGCTCCGGGAGTCGGTGGCGGCGGCAGCGGTACGGGCGGAGGGGACGCGGCGCTGGATTTCAAGTTGGCGGCTGCTGTGCTGAGAACCGGGGGTGGAGGTGGTGCGTCTGGCAGCGACGAGGACGAAGTGTCCGAGGTACGGCTCCGGGACCCCCACCTCCCACACAGCGTGGGGCATGAATGCTCTCTGGGCAGGCACGGGGCCCGGACCACCCTCCCGCGGCCCTGGCGGAGTCGTTCTCTGACAGCAATCGGCTCCAAGGCGGCGGTGGCAGCGGTGCGGGCCTAGTGCGCCCTCGGCTTACTCTTCAGCCCGCGGCTCGAGCCGGACCGGTTCCCGTCACCGTCGGTAGACCCACAATGGGGAGTCCTTTGGTCTCTGAGCTTCGCGCGGGAACCAGGACTCGTCAGGCTACCTCCCGCCCACCCCGCTTTGGAGATGGGGGGAGGCGGGGTCTTGCCAGAGTCCCTGCCCTTGGTACTGAGAGAGAGGGAGGGTGAGAGACTGAGACTGAGAGACAGGGAGGCAGAGCTAGCTAGCTGAAAGAGCATTTTCACTGTATGTCTCTCCTCACAGTTGAGGGGTTTGGAGACTTATTTGCCTTATGCCTTACCTGTGTATTTAAGATGGGTTGTTAATTCCCTCCTTTAGCTTGAGACAGGTGAGAATAAGGAGCTCGCCTTTTTTTACCCTGAAAAAAATCACGTGAGTCTTGCACCTGGAACCTTTTGTGAAATTAGACAGGAAAAGGAAGTTCCCGTGCAGTTTTGAACTTCAGAGTAGCTGGATAGCTGAACCCTGGAGATTTTTAGGCTTGGAGAAGATGGGGCATCCTATGGACGTCTTTTGCAGTGAGGGAAATTATTATAGTTATCAGGTCCTTTTAAATCGTGTATTCCGGGCCTTTTTAGGTCTGAGCAACCTAAGATGGTAGGCATCATCTTTTGGGCTCTAAGGGAAAAGGAGATAATTTATATCTATACTTTTTTCCTCTTCACTGTGGCTTGGATATAGTACTGTACTGTGATGACTATTGTTCCAAGTGCTCAGAGTATTCTATTTTGGTTCTAAGGTGCCTGGTTCATCCCCTATGACCAATTATTTTAACCTCTGATCTTGGGTGTTAAAGTACAGGGATTTCTCTGTGTGTGCAACTATCCTGGCTGTCGTATTTGAGAGGAATAGGAGAAACTGTACTTGTGGGTTGCAGAATACAGTTAATGTACAGTTTTACATTCTAGGTCTGAACAGGGGTTCCTGTAGATTTAAAACCTTCATACACTTTGACCCCAACATTTTGTTTTGGAAAAAAACTGTAGGTTGTAAGGGATCTAGTCCCTTGAATGTCTGTATCTTTGAAATTCACCTCCACTTTTGGACTTGTGGAACTCTTTCTTTTGTCCTTTCATTGAAAATTGATGAGAAATGAACCTAGAACAGATGCTGTACTTCTTACCTAGGAAATAAAGTGGGAATATCTTTAAACTTTAGAGTCTATTTTTCTTTGAAACTTGTAAGAGATACTGAAAAGGTTTGCTTTGATCTTAGTGTGATAGAGAGATAATGTCCTTGATTTTCTAGACTATTTTTACGTAATCATCATAGGTGAAATGAAAGGTCACTCATTTGCTTTTACATAAGTAGTATTCTTAAATTTCTTCAGAGGTAGAGTGCTAGTGAGCCTCAAAGTCATAAATTTCTAACTCTTTGGGCTCGTGTGTTATATCTGGAAAAGGAGCTTTTGAGGTGACCGTTTCTGTGAGGCGCGTGCGCACACACACACACACACACACTTCATTTAGAGTCAGCATACCATGTGGTTAAAGCTGTGAGCAGAATCCACACCTTTTGTGTTTTTTTGATGTTTATCATAGAAGTTATTTATTCATGATTCCTACACCCATTTAAGTTAATGGTAAAAGAACCCCTTATTCTCCTGTTTACTTAAGTTTTCTTTGTCTACAAAAGGATTTAGGTATTAAGTATATATATATATATATATATATATATATATAGACCCCATTTTTGGAGTGGAGGTTTCTAGGATCCTCAGAGAATTTAACGTAGTCTAAGATGATGTTCAGTGTTTATATAGATTCTTTCTTAACCTATGGAGAAAGGAAATTTTGTTTTTATGTCTTGTTTCTCCCTTATCACATAGAGAAGAACTTCCTGGAGTATCTAGTCTCTGCTGTATAGTACATGTGGTAGGGTATAGTTTATGCCTTTGTGAGTGAAATGACCTATTTTGCCCAAGAAAATTTCTTGCCTTTTCTTTTCTCTCTGACAAGATGAGCTGTCTTCTCCCCCATATTGCTCCCTTTGAATTTACAGTGTGAAGACCATAAATAATGTTCTTCAAAAAACACCCTACTGGCATTTATGAATAATGCTAAAATCTTTATTTTCCTATTTTGTAGATGTTTTAGAACCAAGTACGTATTTAGAATCTAGACAACCAGAGAGATAATGAGTTGTTTGTAGTTTGAGCGTGAAGTTTGTTTTATTTCCCGAATGGGGCAGGACTAGGTGAGAAATGAGTATGAAGCATAAAGTCCTGTGGTATTTGCTCTAGAATTAGTTGAAGCCTTGTACATTTGGTATACAGAGGTGTAGATACTCTGAGGACCTCTTTTCTATTCATTATCAGAGCCTATAGCTGAGTAAAAAGTTGCTTTTTCTTGCTGGCTAAGTCAAAAGACCTTTTCGTTTGAGGAAGGGACTTGGGTCTTTTGTAAATTTTATATATTAGAGTTGTGCTGCCTTAGGGAATTCCACCATTTGGGATCTTTGGTTCTTGTTTTAAAAATTGGGGTAAATATGTGTTTTGTATTTTTTCATAATAAGCATGTTCCTTAGCTATCAAAGGCTTTGAATAAAAGTTAGAGCTTGCATGGATTCTATTGAAATACACCCATTGTTCAGATCTCTAGATCAGGTTGAAAATTCTTTAAAAACCAAGTTTTAAATGTTAATTTTAGATTTATAATCTATTCTTTTTAGCAAGTTAAAAGAAAAATAAAATTCCTAAAGAAAAGGCTTTGGTGAGGTTTATGACTTAATTTTCCTGTCATAAGAATGTATGCATATACTGTATTGTATTGTATATATGTGTGACCCCCTCTTTTAAAAATTATAAAAATAATATAGTCTTGTGTAAAATTCAACACTATAGGGGAGATATATAGATATAGATACAGATATAGTAAAAGTCCTCTTTCTCACCCTTACTGACCCTTTAAATCCCTCAAATACCTCTTCAGAGGTAACCACATTAAATTTTTTTCAGCAAATTGTCCAGGCTTATATAAGCCTATATATGTGTGTATACATGTTTGTACACACACACTTTAAAGACAGATATCCATTTAGAAAGCATAGCTTTATATCATGAGGTGTTTTTTTTCTTATCTTGAGGCAGGTGCTATATTTATGGGTGCCATATTTAGGTAAAAGCACACAGACATCATATATAGCAATTTATAGCAAATTATGTAACAAATTATAACAAAAGCTTTGTAGGGAATTTTTTTTCTTTTCTTTTCTAAAAATTACTTTCAGAGTCAACAGCCCAGGCCCATATAGAAGTTCCATTTTGATTTTCTCCAGTAGGAGAGGAGAGGGATCATTTCCTTTAGGGTTACTGATGATCTACAATCTAGAGCAAGGCATCTTAATAGCAACATGTTGACATTTTGGGCCAGATAATTCTTTGTTATGAGGGGCTCTCCTACGCATTAGCATCTCTAGCCTTTATCCACTAGATGCCAATAAAACCCACCCAGTTGTGACAGGCAAAAATGTCTCCAGACATTGCCAAATGTCTCTTGGGGGCAAACTCACCCTGGTTGAGAACCTCTGGTCTAGAGGCCACTCTTATTGTCAGGGATGGCAATTTTGTCATGAATACTCTGTATTCAAACTTCAGGTAAACAAGGTGAGTCACTGCTTTTAATAGCATCTCAGGGCTTAAGCTCACAACCTGAACAAGAGAGAAATTGAAAGGGGATATACTGAAAGGTTTAATGCTGTAAATTTTCTATGGTATATTTATCATTTGGGGGAACTTTCACTTAAAATACTATATTATTTTTGAAAAATTCATTTATTGTCCAGGAAAATGAATTTCTAAAAAACCTTTATAGGGACTTTGTTCAAGGTAGAAAGGGCTTGATTCCATAGATTGTAACCAGTAGTGATAAAATAGGAAATATAACTTGGTATTCTAGTGAGCAAATTTTGGAGACACTGGAAATGTTTACTGAAGGAAAAGTTACCTGTTATTAACTATAACACTTCGTTATACTGCATGAGTATCAACCTTGCTTAAGTTTTATCCTGAAAAGCCTGAAGACCTTACATATAAAATGATGTGTTGATGACTATGATTATAAGAATGGTGGGTCAAAACAGTTGATTAGGTATGGGTGGAGGAAAACCTTATTGTGAAACCTGAAGTGTGTAGGGGTTTTCTTTTGGTTATTATTTAGTACATTTCAATAAGTGATTACATTCATATAGTTCATAAGTCAATGTAAAATAAAGACAAATACAGTGAAAAGCCTT